TTTAGAGTGCCGTACTATATTTGGGGACCTAAACAGGGTCCCTAATTTAGAGAACTACCCAAAGGTATTCTACGGCTTTGAATTCCCAAACTCTGCGCGGCCGCCTCGAACATCGCAGCCGTTTGGTCATAGTATCCGTTCTGATCGTAGTACGCCTCCGATCCGGACTGCAGAGGAACACTTGCGGCTGCGTACGATCTTCAGAAAAACCAATACGACTGACATGGCTGTTACTTATCATTACTCGTATTCGCCTTCCGAACTTCTTATCCAGAACGCTGGCCACAACACTCAGGAAGAGAAGGAGGGATAAGCATTAGTCGTAACTTGTCCCGACGATGTCGCAAAACGTGCGGAAACCACACTGCAAAAGGTCTCCATCGAGTCATGTTCTTGCGAAACATTTAGCATCGACTCCTTGGCCGGAACCTGCACAATGAAAAGTTAGGCGCATGAGTTAATGCTTTCTTTGGACGTCGGCAGCTTAACATCCAAGCCCTGGATCAAGTACAGTGTTCAGCACACACCGAGAAATACAATGTACAGAGGAGCTGGTGACAGATGTGTTGTACACCTCGCTTGAGTATTGTGCTAGCAGGCTGCACGTACAAGTTGGATAGTCTATTTCTGTTGGATACTTCCGAAGTATGTACAGTAATGCGCATGTTTTGGCAACAAACCATGCGAACATGCCGTGTGCATCGACCAAGTATGCCTAAGTTCGTGCTGGACTGAAGTACAGTGGCTATGAACAGTTTCATGTTACTGTTGCTGCAACAATTTGCACTACAGCTGTATTTATATTTAGACATGAATCACCTGTTGACATACAGAGTTTAATAAATAGAGTGCATACCGTGAAAAAACATGGGGTGCCCTCGGCAGTTCAGGTGCAGAGCAAAAGCACTGGGAGTTCTGTCTATCAGGATTGGCCTTGCCAGAGTTCCGGGGTCGCAACCTAAGAATGAAACCGAAACGAAAATCGTGTGTAGTGCTTCCGGTGTTTTTGAGAAAGACCAACAGGATGCACTTCTTCTTTTGTTTGTATGGGCGCACGCACTGGCGTGCGCGCGCGCACGCGTGTGTGCGTGCGTTGCTGTTTCTGCATCTTGAAAGTTTGCTATGTACTAATGGTGCACTTGCATCTACCTGGGTCAAGCAGCTGGGCTGCACAAGGTACAGGTCAAACCTGTTGTGTTTACTGTGTGTAAACTTTATTTGGCAGGCGATGACTTCCTTGCGTTTCGTCCTCGGGTGTTTTGTCTTCCAGCTTCCAGTTAAACGCGTGCAAAACTGATATATGTTCGCCTACCTTGGTTGTTGAGAGCAACTTAGAAAGTCCGTGGAGTAAAAACTGCACAACTGCATCTATCTACTAAACCAGCATGTTAGTATGCCAGTAATTATCTCCACGGTCCTATCCACCGATCTATCTAATTAAGATTCCTTAGAGAGCAGTGGAACTGCAGGCCTGTGACATGTCCGCTGCGTAATGCTCCTGCCACGACAGCGACATCACAGCTGCAGTCAAGCTGACAATCCTTCAGTGGCCACCCAGAAATGTCATACCCTGTCACCTGCACATGCAGCATATGTAGGTCAGCCTACCCCTACTAGCCCTACTCGTTGTCTTGTGTACAGTGTAGCGTCGGATGAGCAGATGAAGAAATACAAAAAACGCATCTACCCCTCGATGACACGAACAACCACGGGCAGGGGTTGGACATAGTCATAGCCCGCCGCCGCGACCGCTGTGTCCTCGGATTTTCAATGATTTTCAGGACAACATCTGCACCCCCACCGAGCTATGCATCCCAATATGGAATTAGACGCTGCAGACTAAGACATGATCAGGAACATAGCGCCTTGGATCAAAGGTTGGCAGCAAGTCAGTCTGGCAATGAGACTCATACAAGCAGAAATCGGAATTTGCAGCTGTATTTTCCGCCAAGGTAGTCGCTTGAAACGGCCAGGAAACCAAGGCATCAAACCTAATTCAAACCTTTTATGCGGACTGTCCTGAGGCCAGCCGCAGCCCGCACCCTCGCTGTAGTCCTCGAGGAGAGAAGCAATGAGAGACTTAGAGAAGAGAGGCGGATTCGGGTGATCCCTCCCTGGCTGCCTCCTTGCCTGCTCCTCTCCTGCCTTGCCTTTTTAGTTTACTCCCTCCTTGCTTCCCGACAAACTTGAACATACGTGCCTGTACAGATATTGGCCGGTAATAGCGAGGCATGGAGCACATGTGCCGACGTTGTCAGCAGCAACACATCGCGGGTGAAAAACTCGGCCGGCGCACCATCTCCGGGGGAATCTCTCCCTGGAAACATCCCTGGGGCAGGCTATCCACTTGAAACGCTGCACTGGCATTGCATGGAGCTTGAATCCAAAAGGTGCTTGCTCTCGGAAGCACGCGCACTGACATGTTGCTGCCCAGCAGTAAATACATCGCTCGGGCCAAGGCATCCTGGGCAGCATACCACTCGGCCTTCGCAACAAGGTTTTGAGCCCAAGCCCCAATGCTCATAAACCTTGGCCCGAACATCCCTCTTCTCTGTGACTCTCCATCGCCTGGTTCTGGTATTCCTGTGGGGTGAACTCCTGGGCGCTGGAGTTCAAGGTGCTGTCCTGACATGTCTGCGAGTGGCAGTCTGCAAGTCACCAGTACTTTCAACGGTTCCAGGCAGCGGGCTTTCCGCATACCTCAATTGAACGATGAATCTGCAGACGACACGACCGCTTAACCTATAGTCGGTACACAGCGAGATTGCACAGATGAGCCGAGCGAAGCTTTATGCATCTCCCAGCATCAATATATGCAGCTGTGCGTTACGAGCCCTCATACCATCCACACGTGCCTTCGGATCGGTGACACCGGCTTGCGCCTGGTAAGCCTGATACACGACATCAACACGGCAGTGAAAGTTGAAACCACGCGGAAACAAGCAAGAAATTCGGGAGGTGCGTTCAAGACAGAGCCGACAGGAGCGAGCATCTTCATTCTAGGTTCAGGTTTTGTATTCGGACGTAGACCCATCCCAGCTTGCCTCCGTGGAAGTTTGGCCCGATACTTCCTTCAAGGGCAAGGAATCCGTTTGTTGAAGGATACCGCTCATGACAGCAGGAAACAATACGACACACGCCACAGGTCCCCATTGCACATCTTGGCTACTATGAATCTGGACAGTTCTGCACCCAACCTGCACAAAGTCCGCTGCACTCGCACCATGGCCGGCATCGTAGTACTCCTGCGAGGCAAACTCTTGCTGACATGGCTGGACGGGCTGGAATAGAGGAGCGGTGCTGATCAACTTTGATCTAAAATCAGGTGGCACATCTTCGTGGACACCCCTCACGAGGGCCGTTTCTCCGGATTTACAACACCCCCGATATTTGGAAACTCCCCCTCGTTGCCATGGCAAACTGGCACCAGACTGTTTCTGCTCTTACTGCTGCTGCTCCTGGTGCTGCTCCTGCTCCTGCTGCTGCTGCTGCTCCACGATGACTGTGCTAGTACGTGCCACCCGTAACTCGCGATACGGCCCAACACACGCTTGCAGGCCTGCATTTGGGGGGTGGGGTGTTCTCAACGTGGAGTGAACATCAGGAGCTGCGGCCGCTGGTTCGAAACACCAGATGCCATTACACGTGGTGCTGTGCAGTGTTAGGTGACGCGCAACTTCTTGCATAAATATTGCTGAGTCTGACATGTCTCTTAACTGAGTGCGCGCGATTACCCACGTGTGCGAACCCATTCCCAGGGCCCATGGGGTCCCACCAAAGAATGCAATGCATGACAGTAGTGTGGAGCACGTTCACATTTCCGAGCCTCAGTGGAGGTCTGGGCGATTGCCTCGCAGCTGGGTGGCAATGTGAAGGGTCAAGGGCCGAAGGCATGGGAAGAGATCCCTTGCGAACACCGATGACTGATGAGCACCTGTTGATCGGAGGTGTTCCATTCTGCGGCCTGGCAAGGTAGCCAGGTAGCCAGACACACTCGCAGACAGACGCAGAGACGTCAAGCCGAATTGCGGATGCCCCCGTGCCTGCCGTCTTTTCACTTTGAGTCCAGCAAGTGCCTAAGAATGCAGGATCACTGCGACATTTGCATGCAGAACATGCTGCAGATTGAGTCACTCGACATCTGAGGTCTGCACATCCGGATTGTTGATAGGAACATGCCATCCGGTCTCCATGCTTTGAGACCATCCGAACACCTTGTATTGTAGTTCGGCAGGGACCCGATAAGCAAAACGTGAAAACTGAACACGCCGCTTGGGATGTGGCTGCGTCACCTTCAATCTCTGTGCCGAAGTACCAGCCTTCGAATCTCTACAGCAGGCTTCCCACAGAACCAACCCGTCGCACCTTGCACGTGATCATGTGCTTTGTTAGAACATAATACACTTGAACGTCTTCAGGAATCGCCCTGTGCAGCAGAATTCAAGAAGCCTTGTTTCACGTCATCTTTGAGAGAAGTTCGCTGCTGGGCTCAGTCAAGCTTGCTAGGTGCTGCACCCACTGATTGGGGATCCTCTCCATCGTCGAAATAGTACAGAAACATTTCCTCGATGCTCGACGACCTGTCGAACATTAACGAGTTGATAGCGCCAGAGCCTGTGGGTAACACCAGCCAGGCCGACGCTGTCCTTTTGTATACCTTCTGGCCGTGGTTCGCGCCGTGCTCGGCATACTCCCCAGTCAGTCTCCTTCCCAAGCATCGTGCAAGCTCAGTGCTCCGGAAGGTGAACATCTGTCATTGCAGTCCTTGCCAATTCGCATGTGTTCTCTGCGAAGACGACGTTGTCATCCTCCACAAACTCCACATCGACGACCTGCAAAGATCGTCATTGATCACGGGCTTCGGCGGCCAACCGACTAACTAGCACACACAGCGTGCTATGTTCGGACCGATCCAACAAGAAACCAAACTATGGAGTGAGAGAGCCCATGGCCTCCCCCACAGGGTCTCCAGAGCCAGAATTCCAGTTGGCTGCATCCTGTCAAAGGAAAAACAGCATGGCTTGGCGCTTCCTGCGGCTCAAGCAATCGCAACCCAAGCGGCTCAGCACATCAGTACGGGTACCGAGAAAAACGGTTTGCATCTTAAGGTGGATTCTATGACAAGGACTGGAACGAAATTACTGACAAGAACAGCTGTAAGGTCTTCCGCCTCCCACCAAGCATTCTCCTTCCACTCATCCTTCGCCTCAGCCTGGAGCACTGGACGCAATTTTGCTAGCTGCTAGACTGTTTTTCAACCTAACCAAGCAGAACCACAAAGCATTACCGAGAGCGAGGCCGCTTTCAGGTGGGCGTCGATGGCCTCCTGCACGAAAAGCTGTGATGAGCAACGGAAAAGGGAAGCTTGTGTCGAGGCCTGCAAGGTCTCGTCAACGTTCTGCTCTGTGGCCTGGAGTACGCCGAGGAGGTAATCGTGGGCCCACTGCAGTTCCTGTGTGGACGAAGTGGTTGCCACTTGGATCGTGCCGAACAGCGAAGACCCCACACCATCCCACACCCTCAGCCCAGAGATCTCCTGCCAATTCGAACGGTTCACAAAAGTGAATGCGTAGCCGGTGTGGCCGGCACGTCCGGTTCGGCCAACCTGCATGCCGCTGTCTCGACATGAAACCTCAAACCAACTGCATAACGACCAAAGCGGCTTTGTTCGCACAGGTTAGGAGCAAGGTATGCGGTCGGACCCTGTGGATGTAGTCTTCGGCCACTCTCGGCATGTCGTAATTGATGACGAACCTTACCTGGCAGCGTATGTAAGCGGCGACAAGTTCATGTGGCTAACTCATGTTGTCAGGTTGCAGGGTTGTCGTGTCAGCGGCCTGAGGAATGTCATGGCCGCGTGCCAGAACTCCGGTTGCCACGACGCACGGCCTAGCATTGAGACGAGCACGCGGACAGACTGAGACGGACATTCATGAATCCAATGGTAAGCTGACGGTAAACTCAATGAGATGCATGCTTAGATCTGGCTCGCCATGCGTGGGGGGTCATCAGCAGGAGGCTGCTTCTACATCATCAGCATCGGCTGAGCAAACACAGCATCGACCGTGACTGGCGCCCTTCGTAGGAACTGCAGCCTTCAAAACCGAAGGTGCGAACGCGCTCTCCAACTATCAACATCTCTTTATTGCCTTAGCTCCTGACAGTGGTCCGTCGCGGAACTGTTCCATTGCCTGGGCAGCAGACAGTGTATTATCATCATCAAACACTACTACAGGCATCCACACGCTATGCGCGGCATAACTTGAAGCCGCCCCATAGCGTGTCGTTTTCTGCGCACGCAACCAGCAGAGTGCATCCGCAAAGGCTCAGCAAAACCAGACGCAGGTAAAACCACGCTCCACGAGGCTTGTTGTCCAACTTCGCACCCCGCGGCAGATGTTCCAGTTGCTCCGCTAGACCGAAACCACTATGACTCACTTCTGAGACCTCTGCCCAATCACGGTCGGACTGCTGCAACTCTCCATGTAGCTCTTGTACCTGTCGTTCGCAAGATGTCCATGCTCTTCTATGCAAAGTGGGTTAGCTTACAGCTTTCATGCTCTTCCACCGCTCAAAAGCTGGTTGCACGAAGGCTCTACATTCTGGCGGGTGGCGAGGCAGTTGCTGGTCCCGTTCCAGACCATGTCTTCGTTCGAGAGCTGGTCCTTGAGCTTGATGACACCATTGCGGCTCCTGTCAATCTTCTCGTGTTCGTGCGCCTCTGTGGGTGTGTGTGGGTGTGTGCGTGCGCGTGTGTGCGTGTGCGAGTGTCAACGCGAGGCAGCAGCATGCACCGAAACAAGAGATGCTTGACTGTCATGTTGATGACGTTTCGACCGCGCTATATCACACAAGTGGCACTGCAGCAGCCAGCACACACCTCGCCTGCAGAAGATGATGCACTTGTCGGTTGAGCCTTCCTGGAGGACCTGCATCCTGAAGCTGCGTGTTGGATTTGCAGCATCTGTACTAGGACGGCTGCCCACCGAAAGAGCGGCTGACATCTCACCATGACTCCACTACTCTCTTCAGAGGTCTCCAGCAGCAGGGAAGGAATTGAGCTGCCCTGCAAAGGTTGAACCTGCTGCTAGGGCCCACACTCGTGCAGCTTCTCTTTGAGCTTCGTGAACTTGGCCTGAGCGGGAAAAGCGTAGAACAGTTCACAGCACCTGCGTTCTCAGTGCTGTGGGCCCGCTCTATTGAGTCTGAGCCCACAGCCTCGTCGTCGTCGACGATCTCAGCCCTCTGGACGATGCTTTTGCCTGCGGTCGTTGTAAGGATGAGCTCCATGTGGATTCAAGTCAACGTGCAATTCTTCAGCTGGCACAGACTTTGCAGCCGAGCTGCATGCTGCCAACCTCGTTCCCCCGATGTGAATATGGACCTGCGAGGCCGGCAACACCGGACCACAGCTTCGAAGGAATACGAAAGTATCCGTCAGAAACTGCACCACTAGCAGAGCTGAGCCAATTTCACAATCACAACGCTTCTGCTAGACCTGGGATGACACACAGGGCTTGAACACCGAGCTGCGGGTGGTCGGCCATCTGATGCAGTGCAGATCCTCGGGCCATGAAAATCACGATCGTCACTCAGTGTCATTTTTAGCGAGTTCGTAGGAGATCTCTGTAGCTTGAAATCGTGCCGTACTGGTAGTTGCAGCGAGGCAGGGTACAGTAATGCAGGGTATACCAAAAATGGAGCTCATGCACAGCCCTTCTCTGGACCCGGACACTTAAAACCCAACTCGAAGCTTCTGCGGGCGTGGTGCTCTTGGGCAAGCTCCTTCACCACCTGCCGAGTTCCGAGAATAGAAAAAGAGCAGTCTTATGCTGACAGCAAGCTGCTTGCGCTCTCATCGCACGAAGATCATGCCCGGAGGGCCTCTGGCCAGGTGGCACTGAACATAAGGACTTGCCGCTCCTTGCGCACCTGCTCGGGGCAAGCTTCGTAGGTGAGGAGAAGATATCTATTGTTGTGGAAGTCTCCTGCATTGACCTCTACTTACCTCTGACATGACAGTCTGACCTCAGAGCCTCCTGTTTCATGAGAGTGCTGCTTGCAGGGGGTCTGCCAAGAGCCCAAGTCCAGTGACTCTGGCAGTCCGCGCTGACAGGTTGCATGTAGTATTTGCTGACTTCGTCATGCCACCGTCCAAGGCTCCCACTTGCGTCATAATGGCCCTGGCAAAGAAGCTTATCAAGCCATCCACACGTCCATTGGCTTTCGTGCCAGCCGTGCATTCTTAAGACACCCAACGCAAGGAAGGCAAACGACACAGGAGACATGCAGAGCTCGTGCCTGATGTCACCACCGAAGCCCTTGTGTTCAAGGAGCTCGTCCGCCTCATCCAGAACGACGAACCTTGGAACATCAAGATCTGAAACTTCACACCATGCATGGCAAGGACAATAACCATTCCTAAACTCGAGATCCTTCTCAACCGTCGCGTCTTCTGTGAAGACCGAGCCCTTTCGCCGCCGCCTAGAGTCTAGCCCACGCACAACTGGTCTGCGCGCCCCGAGTCTCCAGGCGTGCATCGATTCAGCTTTGTCCATTCATCACCAAGCGCCTGAGACAAATCGGCACACCCCCAGGTGTTTCATGGGCCTGCAGGCTGTGACCCGCCCCTCTCCAGGCCTGAAGGAATCGACCCGGAGTGGCCACTATGATGTCGTTCCTTGCCTTGCTCGTGTGTCGATGGATCATGAAGCAAGCTTTCTAAACAGTGCCAAACGAGGGCAGCCGGGAAAAGTCGTGCCATAGAGTGCCGGTTTAGCAAATCTCATATGAGTCTGGCCAGAGCATGCGCTCGCCTGAAGAAGCTCCTTGTGCTCAGAAGTCTTCATGCCACCGACGATGGTGGCAGACGCGAGGTGTTTCAACCTCAATGACTCGCAAAGAAGCAAAAACAGAGAGATTCTAATGTCGTTCTTGTTCGTCACTTGAATCCCAGGTTTTCATCTCTTGGGCACAGGCGACCCATACTTCTTGCAGACCTGATAGCGACGTACAGAGTGAACTGAGGATCCAGATGGGAGTTTCCGAAAATGCGGGGTACCTTATTTTGGGGGTCCTTATAATAAGGATCCTATTATTTAGGGTACTATATTAGGGTCCCCTATTTTCGGAAACCCCCCAGATTACTGTGGGCTGCCTTGGTCTTGCGGGGTGCAGCACTCCACGGTTCTGCAGTCCTGACTCACCCTGCGCCCGCGGCTGCCTTAAAGATTATGCAGACCTCAGGACCTCATATCTAGGAACTTACGAACTCAACTTTCAAGGATGCATCTTCCGGTGCCTTTGAGAGAACCTTTGGGTAGGGACTTTGAGAACCTTTGGGTAGGAACTTTGAGTACCTTTGGGTAGGAACTTTGAGAACTTTTGGGTAGCAACGGTGTCGAAATTTCTCCCGGATGCAAAAAAAAGAAAAGTGCCCGGCCCTCTCGATCTGCTTGGCGAGCTCGCGCGTCGGCGCGAGAACCTGCCATTATAGTTTGCTTCCATTTGCTCGCCAGCTTGGGCTCTGAGATTTGGGAGATTCCGAAAATAAGGGGTACCGTATTTTGGGGGTCTTTGTAATAAGGATCCTACTATTTAGGGTACTATATTAGGGTCCCCTATTTGAGGAAGCCCCCATTTTGTTGGCATCTCCAGGTAAAACTACAAGGAAGGAGGGAAACAGCAGCACCTACACGTTTTGATGAGTATGATAGCAGAACTACTTCGCATCGGGCTACGGGCTCGGGATTTCGGTCGCAGAGCCGGGGAGGATTTGAATTCATGGCGAAATCACCCTGAAAACAAACAAACCCCTAAACCCTCCAGCTGATGGTCGCAACTCGAGATTACAGCTTGCCGAACTCCGTTGCCGTCAGCAAGAGGATCTATTCACCGACTTTCCATCTCCACTTCCACATTCTCCGAAGCTGTGTTCACCTACCTCACCGATGTAACTGATTGGAATCCGTACAATAAAACCGCGAGTAAAACACAAAACCCAAAGAGCTATAAAGATGCAAAAGAACACTATTTCGAGAATTCAACAACTGCTGCGGAAGTCTCAAGCCGACCTGGGGGAGGTCCAGAACTGTTAGATTCATACCGCTGAGGCGTGTTGCAACAGCATTGAACATGTGCGGCTCTGTATCAACCTCAGCAAACCCCGAGCCCTCCGAAAGCGCTGCGCTCTGCTACCAGGGCGGACCAGGCCCACTGGGCCATCGCCGGCGTCCAGTTCTTCCTGGCGACACAGAACTGCAAAAAAATATTGTAAGATATCTCAACCAGCTACATGTAATGCAACCTGCCACCACATGCATTCTAGCAACCGAATTGGAGCACAGGATTCAGTCGGAAGCTACTGTTTTGTGTGGACGTTCCATACTTGCTGCGAGCCCGCAAGATGGATGCCCTAGACCTGAACTCAAATCCCGCACACTGGTTTTCTCTAGCCTGACGGCTGATGTGGATGATCATTGGCAGGACATAGGACACCGTCTTGCCACTTCCTGCAGGTGGGCTCTGCACTGGGATGGGCGGGTCTTGTCGAGACGATGAAGAGCTTAAATGCCCCAGGACGCAGGCCTGTCTCTGCGATGCCAACCACATCTCGGCCCTGTAACGCCAAAGGCCTCTGGGTTTTCGCACAGGGCTCCAAGGCTTCCGGTCTCGGTCTCGTCGTGGTGGGCCGCTGTGCCACCGCAGAGCTGAGGCAACGGCCAGATCTGCTTCTGGATGGGGGTCGGCGCCTGCGATGCTGTGGGAAAGTGACTTAGGGACTTAGTGACTTAGTGACTTCGTGGATATCGCGGTCTTGCGCCATGCTTGAAACTACGCTCCAACGGAAACCCGGAATGCGTCTCTGGCCTCAAACTCCTCCACCAAAGACTGCTGCAGCTCAGCTGGCCAGTGCACCTGCACAAAAAAACCACGGACTGCAGCATCAAGTGACGATGGTAGCTCAATAGCTCCCGACACATCACCAGCAGCCTCGTCGAAGCTGCTGAAAGGGCCCGGGGCTGGGCAGTCATCACCTGGCTCTCCGACTGGCTACCCGGCTACCAAAGCGTAGGAACTGTGACACAGTATCTTCGGCTGTCCTCGCCAAAGATATGTTCTGTTCTGAGCTCTCGGCTGTCCCCTTCCAAGATTGCGATGCCGCTCTCCCTCGGCGCATGGAACGAAGAACTTTCGTGAGCCATGGACGATAGCAGATGCTGGGATACTGCACCTTCTGCACTGCCGATTCTGAGTCGTGCTCGCTCGCAGCTCTTCGATCTCTTGCTTGGTGCGAGATTTCGCCTTTTCGTCGCCCATCTCCTTCCGGATTTTGGAACACTACGCTTGACACCGGGATTGGTGCCAGGCTTCAGCCCACCTCGTAGAAGTCCTTCGTAATCGCAATTTCCCTCGGCCACCAGGAGCTGGAACAAGCAAGAGTGCTTGTCGCGAAAGCTAGCGCCACTCACCGTCGCTGTGCTTCCGGCGGCCTAGTGGTCCAGTCCACGTCCCCTTGCTCCAACAGCTGAGTGGCCTGTCTTTCAAGGCTGGCGGTGGATGTTGGCAAGCCGTAGTGCAGCTGTCATGAGCTGCGAAATCGTGAAGACCATTGTCTTCCACTTGCGGGGGCATCATTGCATCATTAAGAAACTGCGCAGTGGCCCGTCTCTCCTCAACATGATGTGCATGCATGGACACAGGTTTCTGCTCTAGGAACTTTACGGCACCAAACCCTGTGCAGGTTGGAGTTGTAGCGAGTTCACACTACGAGTAGAATCCTAGAATGCCCAGGAGTCGCGATTGCCTTGTCCACACCTTCTCACCACGCTCAGTCCAACGAGGTGGGCACAAAACCGAAATGTGGATAAGAATTGCTGCCAGAACAGCGTCGTAGAGTGACAGATCGCCTTGGATCCTAACATCCTGTCACGGTGTATCGTGACACTGACACCACTTTTGAGACCCACGCCCACTGGTTGACGCCATCCCAGTCTTTGTCCTTTGAGCCTGCCAGATAGACTGCATGTGTATGGTCCATCCGGTTTCTCCATCGAAACTATGTGCGAGAATGTGATGCGCGAGAATGTGTTCGCACATATGCATGCATGTGTGCAAGTACGCGCGTACCCGCGTATGTCGGGCTATATTCTTCCACGTTCGCAGAAACTGGACACGACAACAGTGTTGAGATATGCGCAAGAACGTGAGAAAAACGGGCATGATATGTTAGGGGATGAGCATGAGAGAAAAGGATTGATAATGACAAGCTGGTCGTATGCAGATGCATATAAACATGCACATGCATATCTGTGTACACATATGTATATAATACAGAAGCATGTACATGTAATATATATATATATATATATACCGATACGCATTGTGTTCTAAACGCGCATCGCGTATGTATATGCATGTGTATATATATATATATATATATATAGATATAGATATGCATGTGTGCAGATAGATATACATACCCATGAACTTTTCAATATGTTTTGACAAACTCCTTTACATACAACCATAAACTGCTAAACATACATACACACGCCCTGCTTTTGGCACATCAAACCAGACGTGGAGAGACAGAGAGAAAGAGGTATCCGCTTGCATACACACGAGGCAGCAAGTAAACTTAGATAGATAGATAGATAGATAGATAGATAGATAGACAGATAGATAGGTACATAGATAAGACAGATAGTTAGATAGATAGATATAGATATAGATATAGATAGAGATAGAGATATAGATAGGTAGGTAGATCGATAGATCGATAGACCGATAGATAGATACATACATGTACAGAACAAATCCTGCAACAGCACCCTACCGACAGGTCTCAAGCTCAGGCCTGAAGCTCCCCATCCGGACGAGTCTTCCTGCTTCGACGCGGTTTAGGCCCTTGAAGACCATTAGAACAGGGTTTTGGGGCCCATTGTACCATAATTATAATAAGGAACCCCCAGAATGATATGGGTGATATGTAGATGAATCCAGGATGCGATGCAATACCATCAAGTGATTTGAGCGGTCCTGACGGCCTCCGGAGCTGTTCCAGTTAGCCCACGGATCGGTGGCATCCTGGGAAGCTGTTTGGGGTTAAGGGTTTAGAGTTACACTAAACTCCAAGAGACGCAGCAGCTGAAATCAAATGCAATGATCACAAGGCGATGGCCATCCCTTTAAGCTTGTCATGCCCGTAATGTAGGATTGATCACGACAGACTCAGTCACCGAGTCAAAGCTATGCACAGATTCTGCACCTTGCGCTAGAAACCCCGAGCCCTGTATGTAATGCCCACTTCCCTGAAAAGTCAGACTTTCACCCTTGAAGTGCGCTTCCTCACCTGGTCCCAGGAGTTCTGTCCCCAGGCTTGCTGGTCATCATGCCGATTGTCATGGTTCCAGCTGTTGTCGTTGCCTGAGTCCTGACGGCGCATGGCCCGTGCAGGCATCTCGACATGGGCCAGGTTGCGTACGGAGCAGACAATCAATCATCTTCGTGATTCGTAAAGCACTGTCGTTGGTGACATAACGACAAGACACTGCTCAACGTCGTTGCTTGCCAATGCCATCTGCGCAGCTGTAACCCCAGAATCCCCAGAATCGGAAGACACCTGAAGCACGCTGAGCGGTATCTTCCGGAGGTGCCTGATTTCGTGGTGGTCGCTCCCAGTCCGACCAACCACCCCGCTCCTGCCAGGTGGGCACAGGGGCATCCTTTTGTGGACTGCAGAAAGGATCTTTACAAAGGGGTCTGCCAGAAAAAGGCACATCTCGGATATGCCGGCCGTATTCGGTTTGAAAGGCCTCCGAGCAGTAAGGTGCGGACCAAGGTGCCAACGAGGGCAGCTCTTCGACAAAGGTTCTCCGAAGAGAGGCATACTGTTGGCGAAACATTTTGCCAAACTCGCGATGAGCATTTTTTGTCAAGACTCAGTCAACACTACCGACACCCTGAGATCCAATTCCCAACTTCACTTGCATCTTGAAAAATGCAGGTGTTGTTTATCTTCTTGATACCCGGAGCAGAAAAATGCTGGATCTTAATTTCAGCATTTCGGCAGTGTTGACTGCAGCGTTGAATGAGTCCGCCCCTCCACACCCCGTCAACCACCCTCAACAAAAACAAGTGGAGAAAAAAGATAACTACAGAAAACTAAATGCTTGAAATCATGGAAAGATGCTGATTTTTCTGTCCTTTCCATGGTTCCATGGTTTCCATGTGTTTTCCACATTCGCCACGTTTTTGTTCAAGGCTGCGGAGGGGTCGAAGAGGTTTCAGAACTTGGACATTGCTTATCGCAGAATATGAACTGTCTAGATTTTCGTATTTTCCATAATGGTTTTATGCAGTTTCTCTATTTTCAATACTTCACACGTACCTTTAGCATATGTTGCTGTCCCTACTGTGTTCACTACGTTTCATGGTCGTCGTGTTGCTATGATGTGCTACGTCACTGCCATATTTTTCAGATTGTGGTGTCATCCTCGTATCTTTTTCTGCAACCCCTAGAAACTGCCTCAAAGCATGTCTTAATACCAATACACGTAGATGTATGTGTTCACCACTGGTGAAAATGACAGAATTAACAACCTGCACTGCTGAAGGCTTCAGCAGTTAGCAGTTCTAGCAGCAACCCCCGTCAGTCGTATTCAGAGCGGGCAGGGAGCAATAGGAGGAGAGCATCGTCGATAGCAGAAACTGTGTCAATACAAGATTTAACATTCACATCGTCGGTCTTATGGGTGTCCCCATCGCGGTATGTCAAGTTGGCACAGGTCCTCTTCTTGTCGTCCGGAGCGCCGTTTGTCCTACAAGTCATGCCAATTTGGCTATTGAAGCACAAGTCCAATGAGTTAAATATCCAACATCTATACCACTACCCAATCAGCAAAACTGCCCAAGGGCATCCATCTACTGTCTCAGAGTCTCTCTACATGCGACCGCTCTCGAATCTAGGAGCAGGCATCCTCGCCCCAATTCGCTGCCCACAAATCCTTCAAGGTCAAAGCTCAGGGGACATGAGGCTACCTCAAACCGCGAAACTTCACCTTCCACCACCTTGATAACATTGGATGGGCGCATGCCTGATACGTCTGTGGCAACAAAGCTGGTCACTTCAAGTTGCGCCTGCGGTCAAAAAGCATGCACACGCTGGTCCTCCTCCTGGCGACCATTTCTGCTGTGCCAGTCACTATGCGAAGCCTGTCAAAAGCTGCGATGTAAAGGCGCCGTCATTCGACTCAACCGCACGTTTGCAGGTATAGTCGGGAAGTCCAACAAGTCAGGAATTGAAATCCTGTGACACGAAACGTTCGTCCGTGACCTGGCCGCGACCGCCCCTGCGGTTGTCCTGTGAATCTGCCATGAAGGTGGCACCAAGTCTTTCATGCACGCGACCCCTAAGGTAAGAAACATCCACACTGTCCTGAGAGTCGCCGTCCCACTTGGACTGTTGCCAGCTGTCCTTGGCACCAAACATCTTACGACATCGCAACAGCTTGTGTTTGCTCATGGCATTATGCAACCCCCAGTCCTGGCCCCAACTCTGTCGCGAGTGGTCGTCCTGCTGCATAGCGCAAAGGGACCCATTCTATTGCGTCTGAGAACATCAGAGCAAAGTATACTGTCCAGAGTCGGCAGAACTTTGACACAGAATACACATAATCACTATCATCCGACGTAACTCGGTAAGGGCGAAGGCTGGGAGTCTCCCAAACAAGCACCACAGGAATACTTCGCCATGACTGAGAAGCTAAGGGGTGAGACAGAGGAGACGCTGCAAAACCGTCGGAAGAGATGATCGAGTGTTTGCAACTGCATGTGTGTGTCCTGGCGCTGCCTCTGGTTGTTCCACGAGTTGTCCTGGCAACAACATTTCAGATCACTCGCCACAATAGAGAGCATGTGAAACCGTTCCTAGAGAGCAGGGAAGTACAAGCATGTGTGTGTGTGTGTGTGCCCCTACGTTTTGTACTACACTACACATATACAGATATACATATACCCATCTATTGAACGCATCTATGCACTGACAAATGAACCAATAAAGTGCGAAGCGTCTTTGTCCTGCTGGCGATGGTTCCACGAGTCGTCCTGCATTGCTGAAGAACCACTGATCAAGCAGCTGAACGACTCCTGGTCCTAGTACTGTCATATCACTGCTGCAGCACCCACCGGCGACACGTCTGCAAGTGCTGCTGGTGCTCCATGCCTGCCTGCATGCAGACATATGCATACAAACTGTACCTAACGTTACATAACAACATAACATACAGAACATACTTCACATACCTTGCATGCATGGATAGCATGCATTGCATGCAGAACATAAAGAACATGCACTGTAGGCATTACGAGTACATACATTACATGTACTACATACACTACAGACATAATACACAGTACAGCCTTTCATACATACGTTACATGCTTTGCGTACATTACATGCATTACATGATCCATCCATTACAGGCAAGGCATGCAAACATACATTACATACTTTACATACATTACATACGTTGCAGGCATTTCATACATTCTAACATGCATTTTAGACACATATTACAGACAGACGGACTGACAGACAGACAGGCCGACAGACACAAGACAACCAGCCTGGCAGGCAGGCAGACAGCAGGCACACATGCTTACATGCATGCTGCATACATGATTGCATGCATGCATATATACACAACATACAAGCATGCAAACCTACCTACCCACAGACGTACGTGCATGTGTGCGTGCGTGCCTTCGTACTGTACAGTACTATATACATATACACATCGATTGCACGAACCTATGCACTGACAAATGAACCAAGAAAGTGCGAAGCGTCTTTGTCCTGCTGGCGATGGTTCCACGAGTCGTCCTGCATTGCAGAAGGATCACTGATCAAGCAGCTGAACCCCTGACGTAGCAGCCAAAGCTAGGGTGCAACTGCATTACGAGTCCTAATACTGTCAAAACTGCTATCGTTGCTACTCATGGCATGATGTCCAGATGCAGCTTAAGTCTTTCGTCCATTGAATGTCGTCAGTCTGCCATCACCATCGCCACTTTTGTATGACTGCCAGTGTTGCTATTCCCTGAACTCCTGGTACTGCTGCTCGTGCTCCTCCTGCCGCTGTTGCTGCTGAAACTTCTGCTAGTATTGCTGCTGCTTTGCTGTTGCTCGTGACTCCTAGATCCATTACTGCTGCAGGCGATGCTGCTGCCATGGCTGCTATTGCTCTTGGTGATACGGTACGGACCTTCCTGAACCTGCATTTGTTCTTTACTGTAGTCGTCGTCGTAGTGGTAGTAGCTACTATTATTACTATGATTAGTAGTAGTAGTCGTAGTAGTAGTAGTAGTAGTAGTAGCAGGAGTAGTAGCAGCAGTAGTTGCAGCAGCAGAAGTCTTAGTAGTAGGAGTAGTAGGAGTCGGAGTAGAGTAGTAGGAGGAGTTGGAGTAGGAGGAGTAGGAGTAGGGGCAGTAGTAGCAGTAGTAGTATGAGTAGCAATAGTAGCAACCGGAGGAGGAGCAGAAGCAGGAGCAGGACAGGAGCGGGAGCAGGAGCAGCAGCAGCACGAGCAAGCCGCAGGAGCGAGTAGTCGTCGTCACGGTCGTCGGTGTCACCGTAGCAGGATGGTAGCAGATGCGTTTATTTTGCAGCTGCAACAGCAGAATAGCAGAAGCAGCGAGAGCATGCAACGGAAATTTTAAGTAAACAGTGCCAACTCCTGCAGCTGTCCTGTGCACAAGCTCTCCAAGTCAACATGCATCGCGCGATGCTCCATGACTCAGTCTGAAAGAGCCTCGTTTTGTGACCGTCGTCCGCGAGAACCTCCCCAGCTGTCCTGATGTGAGGCAGCCCGTGATCTGTGATTACTGGTTTCGGGTGACAGGAAACCAATCGCAACGGAGCATGATGGATGCTGGCTTCAGAGTAAGGAAAGTTCCGGCGCGGTGGTGGTGCCGACGGAAGCTGTCGTACGCAACCCGCTAGCCACTCTTTCTTTCACGGAACTTCGTTCTGTGGTCTTTGCATGACTTTGCCCTCCCAACGTGTCTTCCATGTCAAGCTGCATCCTCAGACATCGACAGGTCCCAAAATACTCAGAAGTCCTTGCGCAAGCGAAGTATAGGCTTCAATAGACGCACCGAAACACCACGATTCCCATGGCACTGGTTATAAAGAGATTGCAGGGAAACCAGGCCTGTCTACCACCGCGGTCGTTGCTGCCATGGCGATCCTCCTGTCGCTTCGCCGGACGGGTTAAGTGGTGCAGGCAAGATACTTCAATACTCTAGACGATCGAGTTTCCTGTGCAGAGGCCTGCATTGCCCTGCTGCAGTCGAAAGGTTTGCGCGCTGGGGAGACGTGGTCATACGGTATGTGCTGGTGGCTGCGATTGAACTCAGGTCCTCCTCGAACAATGAGGTCAAATAGCGTTGGTTCGTCCAGCCCCTCTAGTTGAATCAATCACCCAATGCAAAAATGGAGCCCGACCAATCCAACCAAAGACCAATCAAGCAATTCATCAATGACCTCGTCACGTGCTGCAATTCACCCATGCCCATGCTCTCAGGACAACTTCCAACCTAGCACCAGGCTACTCGCGCTGCTGAAGAATCTTCAACCAAGATGAAAAGTCCACAACATCATAAGCACAGAAAACCTGACGGTGCCTGTCTGTGGCCACCTCTGTGGTTGCCCTGCGAGCTCCATGGGTCTGCCTCTTCTACCTGGATTCACAAATTCAGGTCTCTTTCACGACTGACTGCCCAAAAAAACAGTCGTCCAGCACGTTCCAGCAACGAGTCTTTCCTCCATCTTCGAGTGCAGGCATACTGCAGCGCATGCCAGAGCAATACCAAACCGGAGCTCGATCTACCCTTTTCCGCCCTGAAGCCGCAACCCTGCGCCTTGTTCTTGTTGGCCAGGTAGCTGGCCCACGGGTCAAGAGGTTCCTCTTGCAAGCAAGGGGCCTAAAGCCTAAAAAAACCCTCTCTCTGTCCCGCAGCGGCTGCCGGCTACTCGGGCTGAGACCGGTCTCTGCACGGTCGGGCCCACCTCGTGGCGGCTGGCTTGCCACCCGGACCCTCGAGAATCCTGTGGTGAGACGGTGCCGCTTCGACCCAAAATGAGGTGATCAGGGATCTGCTATCAAGAGCTTCCACACAAGGCACGGCAAGAACTCGGTTTGCTGCAAGGTGGGGCTGCGCATCGCCGCACTACCGAGACACGGCCCTTGTGAACCCGTGTCCTGCCTCCTGCCAAGAGTCTTGGCCCCAGCCAGTTCCAGAATCCTTTCCGCAAATTCGAAAACTAAAACTTTCGAGTGGCGCGGTTGAAGCAGTTTGCCACACAGTAGCAAGCCGTTAGCCGGGTTCTAACAGCAGCGTTCCCCAGCATCTCGCCCTGGAAATTCCGCCCGTAAAGGCACCCAAGCCGTCAACCCAGCCCGACCTGCCAGGACTCTTGGCCCCAACGGTCGTCCTGAAGGGTTTAGGGTTTAGGGGTTTAGGGTTTAGGGAACGATGGCACAGGCGGCAGATCACGAAGTTTTAGAGGGTTGGAGACTTGCAGAGCCATAAAATGCTGTAAGGCTTCTGCAGGCCAGCAAATTGATGCACGATGCAGGGATTTGTGTTTGCCTTTTTTCCCGGGCTTCGGCAACGACACCCCCTGCAAAAACAACATGCTAGGATCCGTGATTGCGGGTGGGATATTCTCCTGGCAGTCGGACACCTTATCAGCATCAAAACAGTCTGGGCGTATTTCGTCAACAAGTGCTCGTGTCTAAGAATTCCATCATATTCGTCATCTGGGAACTCATTCTAACACAGATCAAGCTCTACTGTTGCAGTGCCCTCCGGCAGACGTGGGTAACGAAACCCGTCGGCACGCCACTCCGACAACAATCAAATTAAGACTTTTGGGATCCAAGGCCTAAACTAAACACCGCTGAGATGCCCCGGTGCCACCGGTGCCCCGCCTGTCTGCCGCCTTTGTAGTTATCCCAGGACATAGCTCGCAAAGTGCTGCTATGATCAAAGTAGCATTCTCAGTCTGATCAAGTGCCTGCGGCCTCGCAGTAGCATCTGACAAGCTGCTGTGAGGGCTACCCCGCAGATATCATGCTGGACACGGAAATGGTATCTTGTATTGGATCATTTTGTCTCAGTTGTTGTCCACTCATATGGCCCACTCATATGCCTGAGCTGCGTGAAACTCCATGAGCATCCCGTTCTGAGCCATAAGAGCTACAGCCTGAGAACTGCGGTGTCCCGTACGTGGCACGCTTGGGCACCATAGGTCCATAAACCCTAAGCTGACTTCCATCACATTCCGCCTATCCCCTGATTGACGGCACTGCACTCACTTCGCGTGGTGCCTCTGCACGTCCTGAAGCTTCGGGATGATCCCGAGCTGTGGAAGCAGAAAGCTTCAAATTGTGACAAGAAAACTTGTACTTTGGAGCTGTCCGTCGGCAGTGGAAACTGAATGCAGGATACTTCTCTTCGAAAGCAAGAACATCTGTTCAAAAGTCTGCACTACGGTATGTGCTTGACGCTGCTCCATTCTCTCCAGGGTCCATTCCTGACGGGCTGCTGGGCGTTAACCACCCCATCACATCTTGCGACAGATGGCAGCATCGTTCAGCCCGAGCATAGGCTGGACCCCTTGCAAATGCCAAAGATTCAGGTCTGTCAGTGTCGACGCAGCTCACGCGCGCGTTCTCAACTATCTAGCATGTAGCAGCATGTGAGAGCCCTTCCTAGGTCCAGGACGTCACTGTCTCAACTGGCCCTTGCTTTGGACCGAATGCTACGTGTATGGATCCAGTCGGCTCGGTGAGTCGGGGTATACTTCCTTCAAAGCGAAGTTTCAAACATGGATCGGCCGGGTATGGCAAAGCCTGAGCACCAACAGGGCTTTCAGATCGCTTGCAAACCCTGGCTGAACCCTCAACCACAACTCTTCGGGTTGATCCGAAACCCCTGCCAGAAAGGCAGCTCTGCTGCTTCCAGGAGCGTCTCGCAACGTCTAGTATAGGATGCTTGCTGGCAAACAAAGAAGCCCACATTGTGCTTAAGAAGTGGATGTCGTTGAGCTTGCGACAATTGTCGTTGAAAGCTACGCGAACAAACGTTTCTACCACGGTTGCAGGTCAACCGCGTCTTCTCTGTGCGGGATTTCTCCAAGCATGGCGAACCCTTCGCACAAACAGAACCAAATGGAGAAATCCACTGTGTACGGTGGATTACTTACCCAGTCAGCCGCAGCATGTGAGCACAGCCAACCTCATTCAGATACGCTCCCCGCTGTCATGTAGTGCTTTTGCAACGCTATCTGGTGAAGGAGTCTATCTGAGCCTCTCTGTCCAAGCATCAAAGCTTCATTCTGTGAATCCAGTGCTATGTAAGCTGTGTAAACTCTGAAGTCGCCAATCAGCAAACAAAGACATCAGAAAGCTTGTGAGGCTGGCACGTTCCCACGAGCTTCTAAGGACTGAGAGAAGTCCACAGATTATGGACTCGGGTTGCATGCAGGACGCGACGAAAGGCATGTAATTCGAGCGCAAGGCACCTGACGTTATGATGCTGCGTGGCTGGAGTAGTACTCTCGCCCCTGGTGTTCGAGTTTTGCCCGTCCCAAACTGAAGACCCTTTCCAAAACAAGAACATCGAAACAACCCAGATCCCCAGCACCCAGACGTGGCGCAACACCTTTCCAGACAAAAGGGACATTGAACACCTGAGGGGATGTTCGAGGAAACATGGTGAAGCCTCCCAGGTCACTTGGCATAAAAACTGCCGGTTCGTTGGCAAAGCTGAAGCCACCGCATCTTGGCCGGGATGCCCCATCAAATGCAAATGAATTTCCACGAACTCCTGCTCTGCCGACAACGCACAGGATTCCATCGAGAAAAGCGGCCGGAAGCAGTCAGGGGACAGACTCTAGCCGGCAGAGTCATGAGTGATGTGCTAAGTTCTGCGCGCGGCCTCGGCTGACCCAGGTCTCCACTGCCATCCCCCGGTTAGCAGACTTAGCACTGAAGCCGATGCTTGCAAAGAATTTTGCTTTCTGCTTCTTGCCCCTCAATTCCTGCGAAAATGCATGAGGCCTAGGCCTAAACTGTGAGCACCTGGCGCCGAGGCTGCGCCTTTGGTACAAAGGGAGCTCTGTCACCGCACAGGGTTCCGATACATACCTATACCTCCAAGTCCTAAGTTTCGGGAGGATGAGGATGTCACAGCCCAACGCGCTGACAGATGTAAAACGAATTCTTGTATCGTCTCGCCACTGCTTGGCAGCTCACTGGACGACAGCAAGAGCCGAACGGCCTGCAAGGCAGCACTTTGCGGACTTTACCAGCATCCGAGTCCCAAATCCAGAAGCCACGTGCTGTCTGAGAAGTATCCTCCCTCTCCCAGGGTGCTTCGCCCATAGACTCTTTGAAGCTCAGCTGAAAACTGACCCAAATCCATTACAGGGGACGACAACACAGCCACCAAGCACCGAAGCGAATGCTCGGCCTTGTTGCGGATGAGGCCCATTACATGAGGCCTCGACAGAACAGCTGCAGAAGGAAGCGAGAGCCCCACGTCAACCGGGGCGGGTCTCCACTGGAAGGCAGAGCTTCGGCCCAGCGAGGCGACGATTCGCCCCCCCCCCCTGGCTTCTAAGACTCGGGCTGCACTGTTCTGATGCCTTCTGCTCGCGCTGCTCCTCCTCTGACCTCAGCAACAAGCAGGTCTTAGCCTTTTGAACACCAGCACCGCGAGCATCGCACCAAAGCCATCGCGGGCCACTCGCAGCTAAGTGTGGAACTCTGAGCCAGAAGAGGCCGCCTCTACCTTGCGACGGATGTCAAGTGGTACACTTCAGTTCGGGTGGTGAACTGGATACACGCTTGGGTGGGTTGCATGTGACAGGGCTTCGCTGTTCGGAGACTGGTCGTGCTTTCTCGTTCTGACAATTCAGACGGCAATCAAGCGGGTAGGTGGTTGGCAACCGCCGCCCCGGCCTCGCTGACGGGATCCGGTTGACAGAAAGCAGATCCGTATCTGCAGCGGAATCAGCGGTCCAGTGAGCAAATTGGCACAGACAACGAAGCAGGTTTTCCAGGGCTGCCGAATGGACTGTCGATGACCGTCGGCCAAGAGCAGTGGACCCATGCTGGACCCCAAATACATGTCCGAGAATGCTGGAAGATGTCCGCAACGGAAGGTCTGTGACGACTCCTCGCTGGAAGAGCAGACATACTTCTTGCAGAACGGCAGAAAGCCAGCCAGCGTTCAGCAACACACTCCCGAACGGAAAGCATGGCTTGCACTTCAGACTTCAAATCCTGCTTCTGCATCTCCTCCTACTGAACTCGACTGGAATGCCGCACAACCTCCATCATTAAACTGTGCACCCAACAGTCCTCTGTGCGTTCTGATAGCCTTCCTGAAACGCCTGCAACAACCGCTGGCGGCACTTTCAGTAGTTTTCTCCTGGCCTACTCAGTCACTGAACATGGGTCGTGCCGAAGATGGACAAAGTCAGGTGTATAATATTGTATATTATCAACTCAGTGTCCTATGCTCTTTATCAGCGCTGCCCTGCCCTCTTCCGGCACGACTTTGCCTCGGCAGCCATCGGACCTGCAATCCTTGGGAGTTTGATGGCTGGCCGAGGGGTTTGGATTCGTTTTTGGTGCAGTAGAGGGGAATCTGAAGCCAGACTGCTGGAATCCTTATAGGCCTTCAGGGAGGGGCAGGGATTCTCCCCATTTTTGTTTAGTACTCCCCAGCGTTCCCCAAGGATCCGAAGGACCCCCCCCCCCCCAGGAAGCATCCCCTTGAGTATCGGCTCCAGCCCGTGAAGTCCTCAAGTCAATCTGTGTCTCACTGTGCCAGACCCTACAATTCAGGGTTTAGGGTTTAGAGTTTAGGGTTAAGGGTTCAGTTTGTACACTAAAGCACTCCTGCATCTTGTGAATCCGACCGAGAACCCCCGGATGCTTTCTCGAAAAGGCTTATCCCACTTGTCTGCTTGCCCACAGCATGAAAACAAGCTCCCAACTCCCGGTTAGAAGAACTCATAGGAACTGCGAACTTCAACTCACAAATTGCTGAGGCGCGGACGACTTCACTGTGTCGTAGAGACGGTCCAATGCGGTAACGGCATTAGCATCCCCTGGCTGCGGTCGGACAACGGGACTTCAGCTTGCCTGGTTTGGGGGAGTCGTTCATTCGTTTGAAGCTCTATCTATCGAGTTTCAAGCTCGAGCCGAGCCCCGTCGCCCGCGCTAGCCTGCGGCTGCGACTTGGATCACTTCCAGAAGTTGCAGGTGCACTTCGTGTTCCGGCCTTGGTCCTTCTGCGAGGAAAACCGTTTGTATCACACCAAAGAGGGTATCGGTACCATTTGGCATCTATGGTGGTTCGGGAAAGGCCCGGCTGCAATGCACCTGTCGAAATCTCAGTTTGGGACACGCTTCATTGAAGGACCAGTGTTGCGCAAGCACATGACAAGATCGGTGTTTTAACACGTTATTGGACGAGCACGCAGCACTTTAAGACACATCAAGTCATCGAAGCTGAAGCCACGGAGAGTCGTGAGTCACGAAGGGCACCTGGCCACGAGAAGTCCGCAAAAGCGATCGCTTCCGATGTCGGGTCGTAGAGGACCTGAGACATCTGATCAGCTTTATAGTTGGACTGCCGTGCCCTCGTATCGCATCCACATCTGGATCTGGCCGTCGCTCCAGCCGGAATCAGTTGCTTCTGCTGGCATGGTGCTGGCATGGACCACTTGTGCTCACCGATTCGAACTTTCGAACTCGCCTTGGGCCTTGGGCTCTTCGGGGCTTCTCGCCGTTCCAGGGCCTTTTCCCGTGTCTGTAACTGTCATAGACAGTGAAGAAATAGAGAAGCCCGCGTTTAAAAGCTCAGCTCCGGAGCTCCCGGGTTCCGGTGCTTTCAGCCCTTCTCAAGGGCGGCTTCACAGAGACCCTGAACTGTCCCAAGTGACGGAATGCACACAAGAATGAGTAGATAAACCCATCTACGAGCCGAAAGCATTGTTCGAGACACAGACATTTCCCGGCCGCAGCTGCAGCCGCGCTCTTGATGAGTCCTGCTTAAGTCTTGGAGCGGTTCCGAAGCTTGGCTGTCTTTAAGGACGCTGATTTCCGCATGCTGTGAACTCTGCGATGTCAATGTACACAAGTATTAGCACAAGGTCCTCGTCGGAGTCCTTGTCGGAGATCGAATACCGTGCGAGGACGGCGGACAGCGTCTCACCAATCTGCCAGCTTCAGACGATGCAAAGTGGACTTTGACTGCGGCAGAAGACCTCTATCTGGACTTTCAGTGCCACAAAAAGAACGCCTTGCCTTTGGAGCACTGCAAAAAGAACCCTCATGGCGCGGGACAGAGGGCGTCCCACATAGCGGCAGGACTTTTTGAAGCCACTCGCAAGCGCAATCTGTCTCTCTGCTGCAAAGCTATATGCTGAAAAAGACAGCAGCAAGGCGAGGCTGGTGCAGCTGCACAAAAACCAAGGCTCCGTGACTTGGTGTCCCGGGCCCAACTGCCGAGTGTCACATGGGACTTTCCGAAAATAGGGGGTACCTTATTTGGGGGTCCTTACAATAAGGATCCTACTATTCAGGGTACTATATTAGGGTCCCCTATTTTCGGAAACCCCCACATGGGTAACCAACATGGCTTCTCCAGTCTGAAATACCGAGGCTCTGTCCCGAGGATATCTTTATCGACACTGGCGCAGCAATGCTCCCAGCCATATGATACACATCTTTTTACAGGAGCGAGCCGGGATGCAGGGAGCAGGTGCAGCCCCAGAGATTTGTCGCATGTTCTGTGAAGTGCTTGCCTGTTATAACACTCGTAATTGCCTTGCAGATTCGGTTCACAGACGGTGGCAGATTGCGGGATCGAACAGCAGGTTAGCATGAATCGAAACCAGGACTCGGGAAAGAGTGTAGCGAAGAAACTCCACGTCGATTGCATCCACCCGTAGCCTTAGACTTAGACACCTGAAATCACCTGAAGCTATCCCAATCTCCAGAGCGCCTCCTGCATGCACACACGTCACACACGTGGAGCTGCAGGAGGCAAGCCCAGCCACACGCGGTGCATCTGGGCAAGCTCTGTCGTCAGCCATGGGTTGAAGCCGTATTGACGCATGAATCTGCGCTGGGCTAGATCTAGAAGTCGCGCCTCGAAAATATGAACGCACTACATGAACCGCAAGGGTGTGTTCGAACGATGATGTGAACCCATGTCTGATGAAAACCAGCTCCACGAGGGAGCACACCAGCGACACGCTGCCTGTGAACGTATGTCGCCGTTCTGGTCAAGCCGCCGACAGCAACAGGTGCACACACGAGCAGATCTGAGCCTCAATGCGAAGTTACAACTCCAAACGAACATTGTTTTCTCTTTACCGGCCCGGCTACCGCTGCATGGTGCCTGCTTGCGTGTCGGCGGCGTACCACGAAGTGACAGAAGGCCAGATGGCAAACAGGCAGCACCAAGATTTCCGAATCCAACCTCAACTTGTACCTCGGCCTGTTTGGTTGCACAAGCCCACTTAGAGCTCCTCCAAACATCTGCTGCACAATTCACCCTTCAAAGCCCTTGCTCTGGAGACAAAGTTGAACACCAACGAAACAAGTACTTTATTGCCTCAGCTCCGCTTAAGCCTCGAGTTCCGAACTGCCTGCTTGTCCAGAATCTGAGCAACATCTGCCCTCGGGGCACGAGCCCGTGCTCACAACGACCGGCTTGCAGCTTGGCAAGATTTGATTCCAAGCTGCATTCTGGATTTCGCACACCAGGATATGCCGGCCTTCAGCCAGAAGTCTGCCCAGCGCCGTGCCGTTGGCGGCAGGCAGGCGAGTGACCCTGGCAGACGGTCTGGCCCGTGAAGGCGAGTCTGACAGGGTCCGCAGGAACTCCTATGAACGCCTCTCAGGTGTTCCACACACCATGCCCTTCGAAAGAGGGCAGGCCATAAGATATCGAGGCTTCAGCCGGTCTAAAAGCAATCTGTCCGAATCTATCCCTGGCAGCCTTAGAATCCAGTCGACGCCAGCTACTCCGCAATAAGGGGGTCACTTGCCGCCATCTCTCGCTTGGTCCGTTCTGTACAATACTCCCATCCACACGCAGCAGAAGCCTCATCCACAAAGCAGACCTGGAAAAGTGAGGGTTCGCACGCCTCCCATCAGGATGTGTGAGGACCCCACTGTGAGCTTAGGAACCTCCATCTGCCGAAGCTTTGGGTCTCCGCGACCTGGACCTGCTAAGATTAAACCAGGAAAACAGGCGACTTCTCAGAGTCTTTCGTACAAGCTAGCACTGACTGCCAGAAGCTTCGTGCTTCACGATTCATCACGATTTGCGAACGAATCCTCGACACTTCTTATAATCTCAATACCAATATTTCAGCAAGCAAGCATCGTATGTTACTAGTGTAGATGTGGATTGCCGCACAACCTTTGACTTCCTGCGACCAGGAACTACTGTGATAATTTTGAATGATATGCTTTGGCTAATGAAATTTTGCGGCCCGGCGTTGTAAAAGTTGCTGACACCGATTGTTCAGTACTGGTGTAAACGTCAGATTGTTGCAATGTCGTTAGTTCCATAGGAGCGGTGCTATATGCTTTGCTTTCACGCCTAGAGGCCGAGGGTCTGGGTGCCAATAGCCGTTGGTACGGGACGTGTCTCAATGACATCTGAATATTGTGAAAACGTTTAGTGCGTTCACACTCGCAAGTGTCGAACTTGACCCATCCTTCTGATGACTTGAACCATGACTTTCAAAAAGCTGAATCTATACATGCCAGGCGAGCGTATACCTGTACAAAGTACAAACAGGGCTCACTATGGTCTGCCATGCGCATAACCAGGTTGCTTCAAGCACACACCGAGTGAGCACAACTCTTTGTCCAAGAACGTTCTTGTCGTCGTCGTCCTGTTCAATATTGAGGTCCCTCCTTGATTGTGAAATCAAGATCGTGGTCGTCCTGCTTATATTTGCAACTGTGTCAATGTGTCGTCTATTCAGTTTGTCAACGTCATCTATGGTGAGGCATTGTTACTGGCAGCAACCGTGATTCAACGTTCCAGGCTGGCTGGACTACCTGAAAACATGCACCCCCTTTTGGGAAAGGCCACCTTTCCATAAGCATTCCTGCATGTTGCTCAGCAGCATGATCAGCCTGCATAAGGCATAAGCATAGAAGCGACAAAACTGCCAAAAACACAGCCGCCCCGTCGGACTGAACCCATCCCTTCGGGACCCCGCCACCACCTGCAACTAAGGGAGTGCAGTCCTCATAGCAGCAGCAGCAACACAGTCGCTTGCTTATGACAGGTGAGGCCAGACCGTTCATGGCAGCGGCCGCGTCGGTGACTGAGCGCATGACCCATGCGAACATTCCCTCCCATCATGTCAACTGCGACTTCACAAACTATGGGCCACAGACGGTGGGTACAGCCAACACTCGGGTCGTAAAGGCAGCTCCTCGGGTCGTCGGTTGAGGTGCGTGCCACGATGGCACTTTTTATCTCCAAATTTTACGTTGGCACTATACCTTCTGCTGTTCCACGTGGCATTTCACCGTCCAACCCGACCAACACCATAGCTGGCACGATGTTGCTTGAACCACTGATCCCAGCTCCCGAATATCGATTGAACATCCATCTGCTTTTGTCGCATGCCACAGCGCCGTGCTCTGCATCCCTCGCTGCTCAGCGCTGTGCAATGACTATTCTGCCTAAGCGTCAAACTGTGGCACTATTGGGCAGTCTTCACTTCTCTACTTAATTCGCCATGTTTCAATCTCCACTATTCCGGTCACTCGGTCTTCTGGTCCGTCGACAAACTGACTTCGCGCGTTATCCGGGCCAGTCGCCGCGAGTTGCCCTCTTGACATTCTACTGTGATCTCCGTGATTCGTCTCGTCACCTCCAGCAACAACTCCACGTGGATTGGCGCAGAACCTTTGATGTCTCGTGACCAGGAACTATTGTGACATATTCTGGGTTGTATGTGACTATTGAAAGCAGAAGGGCCGCGGTGGAAAGGTTGCTCGCACCGATTGCTCGGTACGAGCACCGCGCTCTCCCATGTTCTCGCGATAGAACCCTCGGGTCTGGGTGCCAATAGCCACTGGCACGGGACAAGTTTCAATGACATCTGAATATGGTGAAAGCCTTTTTTGCGTTCACACTCGCGAGTGTCGAACTTGAACCATCCTTTTGATGTTTTGAGCCATGACGTCCACGTTCGGAGGCTCGTCAGCTGCTGTCAAAAATTGAACCTATACGTACTCCTATACATGCCACGCGAGCGTGTACCTGTACAAAGTACAAACAGGGCTCGCTATGGTCTGCCATGCGCATAGCTAGGTTGCTTCAAACTCACACCGCGTATGCACAACTCTCTGTCCAAGAACTTTCTATTCGTCGTCGTCCTACTCAGTATTGAGTTTGTCGCTCTGTCTCTGTTGCGCAGTTGTGTTCGTCGTCCCTCCTTGATTGCGATATTAAGATCGTCGTCGTCGTCCTAATTATATTTGCAACTGTGTCAAGTTGTCGTCTATTCAGTTTGTCGACGTCATCTTTGGTGAGGTATTGATTCTGGCAGCAAGCTAGGTCCAAAAGGTGTGCAAAACAGTACATTGTTAAAGCTGCGATGCAGTACACCACAGCCTAAACTTAGGGACTTGACTAAACAGCAGTGTATTCGCTGGCTCGCGCCCTGAACTTCAACCTTGCGCAGCAGGTCCAGCGGTGAGGGCTCGGACTGTAGGTCCCTCAGTACTTGCATCTGTCCAGGCCTTCACGGTCGATGTCCTTTTCACGTTTCGACGTGGGGCGGCTCTGACTAACATGGAGAGGCTCATAGGTTATGGCATGGAGCCATACCACCGATCGTGCAATTTCGCTTGGACCCTGTACCCCGCGCAAGGACTGGACGATAAACCAAAAAGCTAAGCCGACGCAGCCGCCTAGCGAACGAGCCTGCAGCCGATCTGCACATCGAAACGCTGCTCAACAAGATGACCTTTGGATGACTTGGGGCTGCAGATGGCCGCAGTCTCGCGTATTACGCTGTCAGAGCATTGCAGATAAGCCAATCTGCGCTCTGAGAGGTTGGTATAAACAGTGAGCAGGCACCGCAGCGCCCTACTCCTGAAACACTGCATCGACAGTGGGACCGTGCATCATGGCTCAAGCTGCAGGACGGATATGGATAGATACCACGGGCTT